CCGAGGTGTGAAATCACAGCACTCTCCCACAGTCTCAGGAGAGGAAGCAGCTTTTGTTTTGCAGCGTCATCCAGATCTATTTAATGATTTTCCTCCTATATCACTTAAGAAAGCGTTTCCCTGAGGATCCCTTTTTTTTTTTTTTTTTTTACACAAAATGGCTGGGTATCCACCTCCATCTTTTGTACAAGGGAAACAGGAGGCTCACAGTTGCCTTGGATGAGATATTCAAAATCCTGGAGGCTGCTCTGTCAGGCGGCAGGGCTTATGTGCTAACTGTGGGGCAGAGGCACCGCCAGCTGAGGAACACTCAGCAGCCTCAGATGGCATTCTTTTTAAAACGTGGTTAATACTTCTATCTGCTATCGGGAGCTTTTATTGCATGCAAAATTAGAATTTAAAGTGGTATATGGAATTTCATCTGCATATAACATTTGCAGACAGCTTTTATCTGCATTTCTTGTTGAAAGGAAGTTGCTACTGGGTGCGTGTGCCACGCTACATAAATACTTTAGCGTCTTCTGCAAACATATTTATGGTTATGTTCTTCCATCTGCCACAGAAAAGTTAAGGCTACAGAAGGGTGATTTAACAGGAATGGAAAGAGTCTTAGTTACTTTTCTTCTAGTTTGTGTTTAAATGCATGCATGGAGCTATAAATTATTTAAGCCCCGTATTCCTGTTCTTGCCAGTCATGTTTGCCTTACAGTGAACAGCAATGAGACATTCCTCTGGCCCCAGATAAACCGAAACAAGAGCCCACCGGTATTAAGACCAGGAAAAAGGAAGTGACCGCCTGAGGGGTACTGGGATGTTTTCCATTAATTTACACTGATCAGATGCAATGCCATCCTTTGCCAGCTGTGCTAATGCCAAAGGAGAGGGAATACCGCATTGCCAAGGTTCATCGCAGCGTGTGTCTATCAGAGCACGAGGCTGGACAGGCAATCTGATTATCCGTCTAAGAAACGCGTATTTTTGGCTAGGGATGGGAAGGAAATGTTCCTCATTCCAGACACTTCCCAAACTTTGTATTTCATTGGTGAAATGGTGCCTGTTGCCAGTTTTAAACGTGAACATACTCTTATGATTAAATGACAATTTGAAAAGTCTGTCTTGTCTACGCTCGATAGCTGACTGGCTGGCAAATGTCTTAAAGCACTTTGTAGTTCAAGTGATATCAGATTAAAGCCAGGCCGAGTAACTGATGACAGATGATGATACACACTGGAGAAATCAAAGGGTTCTAAACAAAATCTCTCTATCCACACACCAATGCTTTGCAGAGACCACTAATATAAATCATAATTTCTTCATGCTTTCAGACCACCATTCATCTCAAAACACTACAGATGGCTGCACGCAGGGCAGTTACTGAATAAGTGCACTTTTCTCTACCTGAAAAACCCCATCGGCAGCTCTACAAGGAAACTTTTGAACCTTCAAGTGGTGGCAGTGACTCAAAAAACCCACCAGATAATCCTGCGTAGCAGAAGACCAGCATGTAAAACTGCAGCCAAACAAAAAAATCGTTTCCCCTCCATGCTGCTCCTGCTACTCAGTGGTGTACAGCCACTGAAGCAGCTGAGCACGGGACTCTCCAGGTCAATGCACAAACCTTTGGTCGTCTTCACTTCCACCCTGCTCTGAACAGGAAGACGACGCTGTGCTCAGCCGATGGCTTCCTGTTGGCTTTTTGTATCGGCAGGACTATTTGCAACTCTTGCTGATGTTCAACCCATTCGGGCCAGCGTGCCCTCTCCTAGTAACGGTTCCCCAAACAGCAATCTCTGCTTCTGCTGAGGACATAAAAGCAGGGACTGGGACGGCAGGTAAATAGGTGTTTACTCCTGGACATCCAACGTTCAGACATTTACATCCTAAGAGAGAATGAGGTGCCACCAGCCAGAACACCAACGATGCATCGGGCAGCACTGATGCAGCCCAGACTTTGAACTATGGTTGGCAGTGCTGGTCGGACTCTCGGGAGCACTGGTCAGGTACGGTGCCTTCTTACACACGCAGTGCCTGCTCGTGCAGTGCATTTTGCTCCCGGTCTGTGGCGTGGCAGATTAAATTAAACAGACAAACAAATCCCTTGGCTCTCAGATGAGTTTGGTCTTTGATTTCGTGTCCAGGCTGTAATGCTGACAAAAGAAAACAGATGGAAGCAAGAGATAAACTGGGGAGAGCTAAAAGACTTTGAAAAATGGTTTTGTTTTCTGCCTAGGATGCATCCCCTCCACATCAGAGGAGAAATAGCCACAAGGCAGTGGCAGATAGCAGACCTACTATCCTGCTTGCAGGGCAAACCAAACACCTTCCCAGACTGCTCCATTCGCATGGCCGCACAGACTGGTGTTTCCTCCCCATTACTCTTAAAGATTAGTTAACTAAAAGCTGGAGAGCTGCTTTGTAGGAATTTGTCAGGAAGAACCAAATAATGCACACAATAACTAAAATAAGCCAGGAAGTGAACCTCTCCCACCACCACTCCCCCACATCCCTTTCACACGAACAAAAAACACCAGTTGCCTCTCCAGAAGGCACCAGATAATTAATTTCATTTCCCAGCTCTTGTTTTATCAAAACAGTACATTTAGCAGGGCCTGCCTGAACAAAGAAGTGACATCAAGAAATTGCCCATGTGGTCCTAATGCAGATGTGAATCAGCAGAACCAGGAGATGCACAGCAATGCAACAAGGAGGCTTTTTCATTTATTTTTCTTTCTGGTTAGGTAACACACGAAAAGTATCTTTCTGCTTATACCTTCTTATTGTTATAGAAACATTTCCATTTCTTCTCACACACACACACATTCCCAAATTGGAAAAGCAGCCATGAAGCCATTTAGAAAAATCATGAAACTCCCAGCTCATCAAATGCCCATTCTTCACTGGAATCTCACTCACCAGAAGAAATAAATCCGTGAAATGGAATATTTCTGAAGTGATTTGTGACTCCCTTCTAAATGGTCCCTTCAAATGGACTCTCCATGCATTTGAGAGCAGCAACAAATTTTGGCCTTGGCAGCAGTTTGGCTGCTTCTACCTGAAGTAGAAAATGGGTAAAGCAGGGTAGGGGGACTTCGAGTGCACCTCCAAAAACACAGGACAGAGCTGCACACTTTGAAGCTTCTTGCAGAAAACCTCATGAACGCACTGGGGTGCCACAGCCAACAGTGGAGACGGATCCCTCCTCTCTCACCCTCCAGCCCCATGTCTCCTACTTTGTCCTACACTGCTCGCTGTGCCTCCTTCCTTTCACCCCACATTTCTAATCTTTCACCACACAGCACTCCTGCTCCCAAATGAAGCCCAGAGGAGCCCAAGCTGATCATCTGTTATATTTTCTTTGGAAGGAGCTTAATGGCCCAAAGGGATTCCTGACAAGCATGATGCTACCACCATCACCGCTGTCCTGGTTTTGGCTGGGATAGAGTTAATTTTCTTCCTAGCAGCTGGTATAGTGCTGTGTTTTGGATTAGGATGAGAATAACGTAGACAACACACTGATGTTTTTAGTTGTTGCCAAGCAGTCAAGGACTTCTCAGCTTCTCGTACTGCCCTGCCAACGAGAAGGCAAGGAGTACCCCATAAGCTGGGAGGGGACACAGCTGGGACAGCTGACCCAAACTGTCCAAAGGGATATTCCATACCACATGACATCATGCTCTGTATATCACCGGGGATTTGGCTGGGAAACACTGCGGCTCAGGAACTCGCTGAGCATTGGTTACGGGTGGTGAGCAACTGTGCTGTGCATCACTTGTTTTGTATATTCTTTTGTCATTATTGTTATTATCTTCCTTTTCCGTCCTCTTAAACTGTGTTTATCTCAACCCACAAGCTTTACTTTTTTCCAGTTCTCTCCCCAGTCCCGCTGCGAGGGGAGCGAACGAACGGCTGTGCGGGTGGTTGAGCTGCCCTCCAGGTTAAACCACAGCCCCCAGTAATCGTGTCCCTCACCTGCTCTCACCCACCAGGAGACCGCGAACACACACTCAAACAACGCTGCCATGCCTCCTGTCGCCAGGCTCACTGGGGACAGCAACGCTGTCCCGAGAACCACCCACATTACAAATCATCGCTATAAATGCTTACTGTGCGTTCCTCTAATCCCTTTGTCAGGGCCACAGCCTACCTCCAGGGTAATGCATTACAACTTTCAAACAAAGACTTGGTAGCGGCACGCTTTGGGGGGGATGTTTCTAGATGTTTAATGGCAGTTTTCTTACAGTCAAGGTGCTATAGCACTTAGGAAAGGCTCCACATTTTTGATGGGGGGAGAAGAGGAAGAAAATTAATGATACACTAAATACAAGAGGAAACACTGTTAAACTGCATGCAATTGTCAAAAGACACTAAAAAAAAATCAAGTTTTATTAAATATCTTTTACTATTTAAAATTAACATTTAAATGTGCCTGTGATAGATCTGAGCTTTAGTTGCCTGTAATGACAACTGTTTTATAGCTCCAAGGAACTTAAACATTATGATATATATATATATATTTATACTTGGTTTTATTAATGGTCATACATAATCTCAACACACCCGAAAGCTTCAGCATCTTTCACAGAACTGCACAGCAAATACGTTCAGCTACGATACTCTTTGTATTGTCTGATGAAAGAAGGGCTTGAGTAACATTTGTTTAGTCAAGGACGAACAGTCCTGCAGAGCCTGCAGGCGGATGTAGGGAAAGACAAAGTTGAATAACGCTTCAGTCCCGCAAAGCATTAGGGTCCCTTCAACCGAAGGGCTGTTGGGAAGAAACACAGGTAAAAACCAAACTGTTCTGCAGTCCAGGTTGCACTCAGAGGGCTGCCCCACATGCCCAGCATACTCCACAAATAATCATCACGCAGTTAGGGAAATGAGTCCTGAGGTTCAAGTGGGGCTTTACCAAATACCTCTTGTTTCTCAAACAATCATGGAAGAAGACATTGATAAGGAAGGTTGGTCTCAGGCAGAGAGGCTGTTCCAGTGCGTGGGTGTTAGTCATCAAAGTCGATTCTGATGGGGCCACCTGTCAGGATGTGGTTTGCCACATGCCCAGATTCCTCCTCCTCCTCCGTTGCAGCCGACCTACGCACCCGTCTCCGGCAGCCCTGGGCGCAGCGAGAGCTCTCATCCAGCGCCCCACACACGAGGATGCGGCAATGCAAGAACACCTCCTGGAGGGTGGCGAGACAGCAGGCCAAGTCAAGGAGCAGCTCTGGGAATCAGACTGGCAGTGCTGCCGGCTCTCCGAGAGCACGAGCAACACGATTCCAACGGCACAGCCGTTTCTGGCCCCACATCAACAAGGTCCTTATCCACCATTCCCATCCACAGCCAAACTGGCTGCTCCACCCGTTTTCTTAGGTGCCCAGGAAAGGGCACGATTTCCAGAGTGCCCAGCTGACATCTCAGACCATGGTGTCTGTCTGTTAGCCAAGGGCTAGAGACAGGGAATACGAAGGCGTGAAATGATCCTCCAGAGGAAGGGATGAAAATGCCAGGAATAAGCCTGGAAGAGCTTGCGTGGGCTGGTAGGAAGCAGGCCAAGAACACGTGAAGCCTCACAAGGAGATGGACTGGTAGAAATGTGCAAGAGAAGTTGACATGAGCTGAGAAAACATAAAGCTAGGAGACTGAGGGGCAAAGGAGGAAAACGCAGGCTGATGAGGAGTTGATAAGACTGCTAGTTGGGAGGAGGAGAACACAAAGGGCAGGGAGACAGCTGCCTTTTCTTTCTGCACAGTAAAGGCAGGCAGTGACAGGGTTGCTGCTCCCTGCCCTCTAAATGACAAGAGGACTAAGCAAGATCCCTGCAAGCAGCAATTAGGGAAGCAAGTATTTGTGACTGTTTGGTCAACAGTGAGGTTTGAAGCAAAATCCATTGCACAGGCCAGAAGGATGCAGGTTGGAGGCAGCAGTGGCAATCAGATGGCCAAGCAGAATTTCTGAATTTTGAAAGATCTCATCCGTTTTAACCCTAGTGAGGCTCTCCAGGAGCTGGAGAGGGAGCTTTACGTCTTTTGGAGCAAGAAGCATCGGCTGAGCATAACAACGGTGACTGAAAGGCCTGATTTCTTCTAGCACAGAAAAGAGAGCTATTTGCATGAGGAAAATGGCATTATCCTTCAACAGTCCTCCCACTAGAAAGCTTCTGCCCCAGAGTGCCACCAGCCTGGACAGCCTGGTTTCACATTGAATTAAACAGCATGGTGGCCTTGTATCTGGAAACCTGGCATCTGTACTCACAAGAGTTAGAGAAGATATAAGGTTGAAGAGATTCAAACTTACAGACTGCCTTGTTTTAAAGATCGGATGCTATGTAACGCGCCTAACTCCCCAGGTTTCTGTTTGATGACTGGGAACACTTTTCTCACCCAGCATACAAGGGTCCACCAAGACTACCCTGGAAGCAACAATGACTTTAACCTGCTATGGTGTTGATATTCCACAACTGTCCTTTGTATTTTATTTAATTTTAGTTGTTTTCATCACTCTCTCCTAAAGTACCCGTGTCAGACTCCTGAAAGGCGCAGCTGCTGGAACAGGCACGGTAGCATCTGCCTTGGGCCAGCCATTCCTCCCCTTTGCACTCTAATACAGCCAACTCCATGCTGAGATTCTTCAGTCAGATCAGGGCTGATGCAATATCTGAGAGGAGGGTTTTGAGCTTACCTTGTTGTCTTTGCCCACAAACTTGAAGACGGGAACCTGGAAATGCTTGGCAAGGTGGTCCTTTGACGTGTACTGTTTCACTGAATCATCAGAAACGCAGCTGAGGAAAGCAGAGGGATAGGCTTTAATGAGTTTCTCAGAAATGGAAAAAGAAAGAGAAAAAACATCCCAGCCTATTTAACCAGAGAAAGAAAAGGAGGGCTTGGCTGCCTCAGGCTAAGCTACCATCCATGTTACTTCCTCTTTGGCCAGAGGAGAAAATTCGAGAATGATGGGGAAAAACATCAGCGATGATAATAACATCTCCAGACAACGAACAGCTCAGCAGCAGAGAGCTGGCAGGACATGGTCCAGTCCCCTCGGTGGAGGGACTGCCAGAGTGCTGCAGGCAAATTTGTCCTCATTTCACCTCCCTGTGCAACAGTCTGTAGTGAGCAACAGAACTGTTATCCAGTATATAATGTGTTATGTACTTTCTGTATACACATATATATGCACATAAATTACACTGAAAATGAATAAGCTGTTACCCACGTTACTAAAATATCACAGATGATTTTTTATCTTTTTTTTTAAATCAAGATCTACTTTGCTTTACATCATTTACATTTTTCTTCCTGATGGACTTGATCGGACAACTCAAATTCACTACAGCTAAAATTCGTAATTTCTATTTCTCCATCACTAGCACTATACAGTCATGCAAGAGGTCACAGAACTGCAAGAAAATAAACTACTTTTATAAAAGTTACATTTCAGGTGCAGTCAATTTATAAACTATTACAGCCGATTTAGAGTTTGACAGAGAAACAGCGAGACAAAGTTACCGTGACTTGATAATTACTGCTGCCTATTGCAAAGCCGTAGGCATTTTGAGAGGCCCAGATGCTGCTGTTATAGTACATTACAATGCAGCTTTGTCCTTTCTAGCAAGTTAATTCCACAAACATGGACTTTGCAAGATACTAAAAAAAAAAAAAAAGTAGTAGTGGAAGAGACAAAAGGTAACGGTGTGACAGCTGGAAGCCCTGCTCTTGCACAGCAATCTTGAGCTTCCGTCTTTATCCCAGAAATATGTAAGGCATTGTCAGAAATGCTGATGTTTGACGTGTTCAATTATCAAACAGCAGCAAACCCCACATCTATATGTGGCTCTGCTTTCACTAGAATGTGCGTTTGGAAATCTCTACGCTGTTCGGCTGACTTGGCTCTGTGGGCGGCAGCCTACTGCAATCCCTCCCAGAATCACTACATACAGCAGAGCAGTCTATGTTCGTGGGAGCGCTAAGCATTGGTCTGATCCTAGCATTCTTTTCACCACCATGTATTTTTCTGTAGCTTTTCTGAGCCAGGGGAGGTCACGGTCTGAAGGGATATCCCTGTCTGCAGCGTTTGTCTAGTTAACTTGCCTGGGAGGCAAACATAAAAAGCCATCCAAGGGGAGCTAATAAATTAACATCGTGCATCTAGAAAAATTGACATAGTTTCCTCCCCCTTGAGGCCAAACACTAGATGTTACTAAGTTGTTTAGGATGAAATTGCTTTTAAAAGCAGGCATCCAGTAGGAAACCTACTGGTTTGGGGCTAGGGAGAAGGAAAGTGGAAAAATAACAAGAACCAGAGATATGTGGAGTCCCTAACATTCCCCTAAGTATGTCTTATGGAGGGTTCTGACAAACACATTGCAGCATGACAAAAAGAGCTCAGAAACCTCCTGAGTCACAGTGTCAAGCCCTTCTGCATTGTGCGTGGGGCCATACCACGTCCCACCCTCCTAGGAAACCCCCAGACCCTGCTTCCCACCTTGAAGAGGTTAGAAGGGGCAGGGAGCACAGGTATGGAAGGAAAATGGGTGACCCTGGTCAGGATATGGGGAAAATAGACCCTTTCCTGTGCATAAGGTGCTTAGGTTAGGGGAGCAGAGAGCGGCTATGCCGTGGGAGCTGTGCTCTGACCCTCTTAATTGGGGCTTGCAAGGTAGAAAGGAGGACTTGGACAATAAAGTAACCACCTCAGCCTACGAACAAGGGGCAGCCCGAGGTGTAACAAGATGAGCCTTGCACTAGAACTACCTTAACCATGTCATGCTCAGATAAATAGCCTTTGGTCTGAGCGGTTTGATTTCAAGAGAGCACAGCGCACGGCGGCTGGCACGTCTGGGGACACTGGGGCCTGCAGTGACAGCTGGGGAGCGGAGCAGGCTGGATGAGGCTCCGACCAGCCGGCTCCAGCCCACTTTTCCCTTCGGTGAAGTTTTAATGCCCTCTGCAGGATAACAGTACCAAAGGGGCTGCTGGTGCCATAAATCCTCCAACTAGTGCTGTGGTGAATTCAAGAGATGACATTTTCTGCCTTCTCTCTTCTCTATTCTGCTCAGGTTTTGGCCACTGTTTTGAATTCCATCATTTTCACTCATGGTGAGAAATGAATGAATGTTTGGAGCCTTGACTCTGTGAAGGGTCCACAGGAACAGCCAATCCAGGGAGTCAATAAATCAATCCTTCCATTACAAATCCACTCATAAACCCCAGAAATGTCAGGCACAGAAGGATGCCTGCAGCCTAGGATGGAGGGAGAGCAAGCCAATGCTGAAATCTTTGTCAGAAGGAAATGAAAACAGTATTTTTGTGTACTGTACTCTGCAGGACTCTTTTGCTGTAAGACAATCACACAGGACTTGTCATCACCAGCTGTAACGGTGGATGATTTAGCCTGGCAGCTGAGGAAATAATAGTTGTCCTCATTATATGGTTTGGCAGACAGAAGACAGGACTTATACGAGCACAGTCCCTTGACTGTCGGGCTATGACACTTGGGTATGTCTTAGATACTACTTTGGCTGGATGTTCCTCCCGAGAGAACAGCAGACTGATTCCCAACTGCGACATTTCCACAGCGTTGTCTGGTTAAGCTGCCAGGCACCGCTGGATGCAAACACTCCACAGCAACATTGTACCCCCACACTGGCACGTTAGCACCCAAACAACTGTCTGAAAACAGGGGTCACCTTAGGAGCCACAGCAGAGCCAACACCAATGCTCCCCAAGCCTCTGACGCAAAACCCATTACAGTGAACCCACAGATCCACCGTGAGTTTTTTAACTAGCATATCCTGGAAAGATCACTAACCTCAAACACCTCAGAAAATTACAGCCAAATTGAGGGACCCTAAGCTTACTGCACTGACAGGCATTGGAGAGGGAGCAAAGCAGGGGGAGCTCCTGGAGCTCCAACCAGGACCAGCCATGGAGTCTGGCTCATGCTATAATAAGGCCATTAGGGGAAAATTAAGAAACTTGCTCCAGTTGCTGTGGTGGCTGCGCAGCAGTGGCACACAGCCAACATGGGGTTCTGCTGATTGGTTTGGCACTCTGCAGGTTGGCAGAGAGGGGACAGCAGGAAAGATATCTTTCCTACAGGAGCCAATTCAATTATCCACAAGGCTAGTTACAGGGAAGTATGTCCTGTAAAGGCTGCACTTGGAGTAACCTCTTGCACTGCCTCCCACTGTTTCTCTCAATCACTTTTGATGGGACAGGTGGTTTCAGCTCAATGGCTGAAAAGCCTGGTTGCTGGTGATTGCTAGGAACACAGCAGACAGGCTGCTGTGGAGAAGCAATAGCGTTCCCTGCGTCACACAGAGAATGCAACTTAGCCCTACTGCCAATTCCTGTCTAATAGCCAGCAAGAGAATGAACAGTGAACTCACCCATCTTGAATCAAGTAGTACTTCAGGATCTCATCGATTTTTGAGGTGGGAGTGGCAAAACAGCTCTCTACCAGTGTCTCTAGTCCATTGACATGTACCAAGGGTTCAATCCCAAAGTACAGAGAGTCCCGAAGCTTGAGGGTGGGAAGAGCACCCCTGTAGGGTTCATCAAAGTCTTTGTCTTTGAAGATCTCAAGAGTGAAGGGAAAGATGCCCTGGTTGCGGCTCATGATTTCCAAGGGAGAGTTCTTGAGGTTGGGCACATAACCTTCGGAGATGGTGTACCGGCGTGGGAACTCACAGGTCACCGGGATCAGCAGCTTGCTGGTGCGGACAATGATGTCCCCATTGCTTCCTGGAGTCTGTTTTGGCAAGCCGGTCACCAGATTGGTGGCAATGATTTTATCATTTATTACCTGCAGCAAAGAAAGGGGTTTAAGGCAAAGGGGAGATCATTGAGAAAGACCTCTCTGAGTCCAGACTAGCAGCTGAGTTAACCTTGTTCAGATAACTCAGACGTAAACTAGCCACTGAAAGCACAGCTTGTGAATTTATGTACCGCAATGGGAATGACGTTCATCCTTACCAACGACCTAAGGGCCTCTATCAGTTTGCTGTCAGCTTCGATGCACTGTACGCCTGCATGAAGCAGAAGAATTTGCTTCCAATTGCTACCCATCTGCTAAGATGAGCTCTCTTGCCAGTATAACCTTTGAAACATTATCAGGGGACCAGATTCTGTCTTAACAGGAGGGTGCAGAGTGACACCACTTGCGCTTTCTGCACTGGAACGATGGTGAAGCTGCTGCTGGGTGAGCAGAAAGCAGTACCCCTGCTGACAGGCGCACACCACTGGAGTGGAGATGGAACAAGCTCTCCTACTTTGGGATGCCACCCCGGGTCTAATATGAGGCCAGCTGCACAGCAACACGGGCAATTGCTCTGATGGTACAGCTGAATCAACTTTATTCCCCAAGTAAGCCATAGCCAAGGCCCCAAATCTGAGAGATCCCAAGAGACAGGACAGGAACAGGTATACATACATCTACAACAGTGCCGCAGGACTTCAAGGAGAAATGGATGTTGACATGAGTGCCATTGGATACTCCTTTGCAGGAAGTGTTGATGAGGGAAAGGTCCAGGCCTCCAACCAGGTCCTTTGGGATGCTCACCTCAATAGAGCTGGACTTGCACAGCACTGGAACTACAAGAAAAGTCCCCAGAATAACAGTCTGCCCTACAAAACTATCAGGGAGTATCAATGTCAGGGAGCTGGGGAAGGACTATACTAATTACTATTGGGAGAAAGAAAGGGCAAACATATGCTACATTTGAGATACTGTTGAACCACAGTAATCTACCTACCTATTTTAAATTCCCATCTACACAACACCAAACTGCCTCAAATGCTCCTGGCACAGCGACATCACAAAAGACGACGATGACTGCTATACTTGCAGCAGAAACTTAGCTATGCAGTATTTCCAGCTATACTTAACACTCAGCACAGGTTCAACTGATATCTCTTGCGCTGCTATATCCTGGGAAGAGCCTTTCCCAAATACGGATATCAAATTCACAACACCCCAGGCAAAGCCATTTTTTAAGACCCTTTATCAGGTTTTACATCAAACCCAGAACATGTCAAAACAAAGCAGAGTAATTTCATATAGATGCTGAGCTAAAATGAAAGCACCTCAAAATGCCATAATAATATTTTTATAAGCAATAAACCCAGCTCTGACAAACAAACCCAATTAGCTCACTCATCCCACCTCCTTCCAACCTTCGAATTTTAACACAGATCTCCATGTGAACTTTTTTTAATTAAAATTCCACTGCATAAGAAGAGGGAGAAAATGTAGAGACTGGACAAAATGAAAAAGGAAACAAGAGGGAATAATCTTCAATAAAAAAGTAATCGCTATATATATTCCTATTCAGTTAGATACAGGACAAGCATACTGGTGCATATATTCTGGTCTCTTCTCAGCCAGAAAAACAAACCTCCTCCAGAATTTCCATTTATCATATTTTAAAATCACATAACACAACTTTTTGCAAATATAACAGATCACCAAGCTTTTTCCCCAGATTAATTACAATCCCAGTTCTTGACATTCATATGATCTGCCTTCCCTTAATTTCAATCAAGTTAATTATATAATCCAGGATTCTGGATCTTGGATAGGAGGCACACTGCTAAAGCATGCCTTTTACCCCCCTTAAAAAAATTCTCATGTCCCAGCTAAGGTATTCGTAACAGCTACTGTGTACCTGCAGGGAGTATTTTTTATTAAATGTTGATCTTTCCAAGGTGATATGCTAAAAAATATGCAGTGTGCCCGAAGCAATGCGCTCTCATACTGACATTGCTGGGTGAGAACAGAAAATTAGAGAAATAAGAATTACCTTAACTTTTCCTCCACCGGCAGTAGAAGGCAAGTGGGAATAACCGAGCATGTCAAATGGCAGAGCTCGTAAGGAGACAAGGGGACTTTGAGAACACAGTGCAATGCAGAGATGAATACCTTTTGGAGAACTGATTGGCTCAATTTGGATTTAAAGCATCACTGTTCTAGCGACTCCTTGATGCATAAGAAAATGTAATGCTTTTATAAAGGTGTAATTCAAGGCAAGAGAGTTTGGATCCCAAGTGCAATTCTCCAAAGCTCAGGGCCAGTTTGGTTCTTGCCATCTCTGTTTCTAAATGTCTTTGATTGGCACAAAGGGGAGGAGAGGAGAGACCTACTTAACCTCTGCTCTGGCACTGCATTGTCTGTGTGCACTCCACCACCTGGGCATAGAAACAACTGAATGAAACCTGTGAGCAGATCCACTTTTGATTCAAGTCAAGTGTTGGGAAAACACTCTGGGAAACTCCTTACACTAACCATCTCAGAGTAACTGGTAATGTAATTCAAACCACCCTAGACATCTGTACACAGAAGAGTAATCAATACTGAGAGCAGTGTTGCAGTTCTCCCAATTTCACAGTGGTGCTGCAAGCAGAGAGACTGCACGCATCAGTGTCATTCAGCTCTGAGCAGGCCTGATTCCCTCAAGACAGACTGCCAGCAACAGCATTGCAGGGGGAGCTGAAAAGGTACTGGCAAGGTAGCCGTGACTGCATGCAGACATGTTATTCCAGGGCAAGTGATGAGGTTCCAGCTGCCAGGACTGAGATGCCCAGCAGAAATGAGTTATCCTGGGTGCCAAGGATCCTCTTTTATTCACGACTTCTTGCACCTGTTCAGAGAGTTGCGCCCTCCTGACTTGCTGTTGGCACCCTTGCCGTGGGCTCACCCCAGCCTGTGAGGCTCCCGAGAGCCTCACCCAGTCTTTGTCACTCAAACATTTCAGTTTTTCACCTTCATACACTGCAGAGCGTCTGTAAGTGCTGGGGGAAACATCCTCATTACCGCTTTAAACTCTGCTTCGCACCAATGTCTGCAAGTGCCCTGACCCTGGCAGGAAGCTTCTGTGGGAAGTCCAACACTCATTTTGCGGTCTGCTATTGTTGGCAGCACGTTCCTTGTCCAGCCTGCGTCTCCTCCCTTGGTCTTTCGAAGTACAGCTGCTTGGAGCAGGGGTTATCGTTTTGCACAGACTGCTCAAAAGAACAGGCTCTCTGGTGCTGGGGAGCCCTGAACCGTTGCTACAAACACAAATAAACTACACCAGCATACTCTGCTTAGCTGCACACAACGCTTGGGCATGGGAGAGGGGAGAAAAGCATTTCACCATCGCACTTCAGAAAGAGGTGGGGCACTAGGATGGTCAGTAAAATTCCAAGTATTTCGTTGGCTGGTATCTTTGTGGGAAAATTGTAGCCAAGGCTGTGATTTCTGGGGAAGATTATTAATGTTTGTTCTGAATGTAGAGACAGTGCAGGGGAGGGTTGATAGGCTGCAGATCCAATTGCTTCAGGCAACTGTGCCTGCCCTGCACTGTTAATTGTACCACTATAAACCTGATTAGATGCCATCAAAAATTGCGTGGTACAGTTCTAGATGTATTCTGTCATATCTGCTCCAAATTGCAGACCACTGCGTGGGTACATAAATTCATGAAATGCAAAAAACCAAGTAATCTCGCTTTATGAGATGCTGTATCCCGAGCCCCAGCTTGGCACCCAGCAGTGCTGCTGCTCTCATTAGCAGCCTCAGAAGAAGGAGAAACACTGGCTGGGAAACACATGGGCTTCTAACCCTGCTGGGGTTGCCTCAGGGAGCCAGGATTGAAGAACATTGCTCTTTTCTGGCCTGTGTCCATCAATCAGACCTTCAATCAGTAAGGATAATCATGGCTCCTGGAAATCCCCATCTCCTCCTCCCCACCTGGCTCTGCTGGAGGAGTAAGCACTACTGAATCCCAAGCGTGCAGTGCTCACCCCTGAAAACAGTGCCCCGCATTTCTAAAAAGCTTAAAAAGCAGAAATTTCATCAACTAGAATTTCATTAATCCCAACTTCCTCTCTGAGGCATATCTGCCCTGTTGGCCACCATGCAGTCTAGATCTGGTCCTCTAACTGATGTCTGGGCACTTCGTAACACATCAGCCTCCAGGAGGTTCTGAGCAGACCAGGTAACACCAGCTCATTGGTATTATCTAATAGGAACTTCTCCCCGGTCCTCTGCTCCCTGCATTCAGGGCTACGGAGCTAAATTGGCCTCTGGGAGCCTGGATGTATTTGCAAAGGAAATCTCATTCAGTTCTTGCAACCCAAACCAGGGCACGTGTTTTTTCCCTGCGAACGCTATAGGCGCCAGCTGGCCAGAAGGACTCCCTGCATACAGGAATGGAGGGAAGGTCTTCCTTGCCCTCGCTTCTATGCAGCAGAAGCAACAGTCAATTTTCAGATGCTATCTTGGGCACTTTTCCAAGGGACAGCAGAAACACCTAGGATCAGAACTAGCACCCTGCTTCAAGACATGGGAATGCTTACTGGAATGACTACCGAGATTCTTGGGCAAAAAAGGGCCTCTCCCTTTAACCCCATTCTTGGAAGCGACTGAACCACTTTAGCTGGAATTTTAAAAAGCCCAGTTTGAATCACGGAAAATTTCAGTTCTAATAGAATAAATTTATCAAAGGCATACACAGCTGAAGCAGAGCAATATAATGGGAGATGTTAAGCAATCTTAATTGTAAGTGAATGCTGCCAAAACCGCCTGTGATGCAAGATGCACCCAGCTGGGTCCTGTGTCTCTTCTGCCTGGTAAAAAGAAGCAGCAATGTCTCCAGGCTCTCAGTTTTGGCTGTCATTAATGACAAAGCTCCATTATCCAAACTGGAAAGGACAGACTAAGAGAATGCAACAAGAACAAGAAGAAAAGTTCCTTCAGATGTACTTTTGACTTCCAGGGGATGAAGGCTGTCAGGGAGATTTTTTTGACCTACCTTGGCATGTGTGGTTGTCCTCTGAGAGAACAAGTCCTCTCGGACATTCACATTGATATGAGTCTTCCACTTCAATACAAGTATGGCTGCAGCCTCCATTGTTATTGTGACAGCCTTCAATTTCTGCAAAAGAAAGGAAAATTAGCACACCCTGCTCCTCAGGCAGCTGTGTGGCAGCTACACAGGCCCCAACATGTACTGCTGGCTGACTAATAAACAGTATGATCAACACAGAGCTCTAAGGCAACAGCACAGTGACAGCTTGCTTCCAAGAAAATGCCGTAGACACCTATTTTTAATTGTACATATTCCTGTGTGTCATATCACCACAAAGTCAACAAGGAATTCTGTGAAAAAGCTTACCAAATTAAATCACACGCTATAACCAACACACGTAAGGAGGCTGAACAACCAGTCTTCAGCTTGGCCCTTGCTAACTTCTGAGACGTCCTCTTAAACGATATTTTCATGTTGTTTCTTACTTCAAAAAGGTTGGGAAAATGGAAAATCCTCTTACAACTCCTACCATGTGGAACCATACTCCCTCCCTTTGTCATCACCAGAATTAAAGCCCTGAGATTTGCAGGGGAGCTGTTTTGGGGAGGACAGACTTGCAGGTAGCACTCTGCCTGTGGGTTTCCCAGCTGTGATAGCGGTGGGCATACCAGATTCCTGCGTCCCCTTCATAGGCCAAGGATGAAATTCTGCTCATAGGAGCTTGTTTAGCAGGAATTTTGCTAGTTTGAGAGTTTTAGGCTTAGAGGTTGGCTACCCTGAGGTGCATTATCGTCACAGGGACAGAACGACACAAGTTCATGGTGTAAGGTTGATTCCCCTCCTAATTTTCCTCCATTCTAAAGCACAGAGGAGAGAGGGCAACACAGTTAATCAGGGGATTTGTCATGTCTTTACTTACATCTTTTCTGTTCAGGTGAGGCAATTCTCTGAGGATCTACATTTTTGTGTAAAAGATATTCCTAGCCACTACAGCTGCAGAAAAGAGCCTGAAAGGTCATCCAAATACATTCTGAAGATTTGAAAATCTAAGGTAAGGCCATTTCCAGTTGTTGTTAGCTGTCTATTATAAAGAAAATAACAAAGTATCATGACTTTTTTAAAAAAATAACCTTTACTGCTTGATTTTTTTTAACCCTTTGGGATAAATATTGCTAGATGTTCTCAGTAAAACAACAGTACATATAATATAAACAAATCATAAATACAAAGTATTTCTCCCTGAGCCTGCCATCAGAAATGACTGTGTGGTTTTCACTGAGATGTAAAGAAAAGAATGGAAATCCCATACTCAATCCTACACATTGCATGGAAAACAACAGCCTGAACACTCCACATGAGTCTAAGCAATGGGTAAAGCATTCTAAGGGAGATTTTGAGATACTCTTAACCCTACTCAGCCTCACCAGCTCATGTAATCAAGCTAAATCTCTTGCATTTGTTCTTTTAAGCAACGCACAGTCTAATGGCTCACAAAGCTGAGCGCACATCTTTAGAAAAAAAACTCACTAACAAGATCGTAAAAATCCCCTTCAGCAGTGTTACACTCATGAAAAGCATCAGCCTTCTTACAGATGTATTGTCCCAAATCTGGGTTCTTCACCTGGTATGCAAAGAGCCAATCAATACACAGAGTCGAGATATTTGGTTTTATTCCTAGTCTGCAGAGTAGGGTGCTGAGCATCTAACACCAGCCGGCACACCCAATGCATCCAGCATTCCTTTTTTATAGTAACAAAATGCAGCTGATTGGTATTCTTAAACTTCCTTATCCCCCCTTTCACCTGCCCTCATCATACATATACATTTTACTTTATGTTTCAAACATTTGGGGAGGTCCCCTAATTAGCATTCCCATTATTCAAAGGGGTATAAATTTTAGTATTTCTTTATACTATTCCAAGGCTAGATATATTTTATATACAGTTAATAGGAAAAGAATACTTTGAAGGGTCCTATCGTTCTAAATCCTTAGTCCGATGAGAGATCCTATCCTGGTTACTATAGTTTCAGAAAATACTGTCAAGGATACTTGAGGTGGCATATACTTTGTACAGTCTTAAGCCTTATTTTTCCTACATCAGACAGGGAAATTAAATGATACATCAAAGACCCTAAAATCCCGCTTCAGGAACAGCGGAAACAAATGAGTTTCCAAGCACAGGCTATTCCAGCCCTGTCAGAAGAGTACAGTGCTCAGGAATAAAAACTGCCATGTAGCAGGTTTACGTGACACCTCACCAACTCAGCGCTGGATGTGGAAGGGACAAAGCCCACAGGCTGCTTTTGGCCCCACACAACAAGTACTTATGGAGCGCTCTGCACAGCAGCTTTCCCCAGGGAAATGTCACTGTCCAGATGAGTGATATTTTATTAACAGAGCTCAGAGAGGAGATTTTCGCAGAAGTGAGACGAAATGTGCTTTGGTATCAGAGGAGGAAAACAGGGACAAAAAGTGCAGCTCAGAGCCATCTGTCAGAGAACCATAAAGGGTGGAGCCCAGCCCCAAAATACAATGGCAATCCCTCTCTCTCCCTGCACCATGGATGTCTGCCATGCAGCAGCCAACATAAGGTTGCACGCAGGCTGCATCACAGATTGCCAGAGATGTAATCAGTTCTGACAATCAGGTAGCTCAAAAGTGAGGCACATCTGTAGCTATTATTCTTGTCTGAGGCCTCACAGTACCTGTGAACACACAACACAGCAGCTTTACCTGTGAGGGGGCACCGCGCTTTTCACAGCTGACCACAGAAAACATCAGGCACAAGTAAATTTTTGCCAGGTTTTCATATTTCTGCTCAAAGATGCTCGTACATTGATAGAGACAACAGATTAAAACTACAATTTGGTCTTTAAGCGTCTGCTAGGCTACCAGGGTTTTCAATCTGGCTGCACCACCACTGGGAAGTAACTGCAGCAGCTGCACACAGCAGAGCCCACAACTAAACACTTACAAAAAGCAAACAGTCAAAATGCATCCCTAATCTCAAATCTAGCTTCTGCTTGCAGACTGGCTTCCTCGCTCCTCTGTCTCTATCCTGGGAGGATAAGAGATCCTCATGCTCTAGTCTAATGTCATGACATTACCCCTAATGCTAGCTGTCAAAACCCAGCAATGCTAAATCTGCCCCTGCAGAGCTATCATACAAATCTCCAGAGCCAAATCCCAGCAATAACTAGTTCTGTCTGGACGACCAATCTTTCAGATCCACTGCTGCCTCTTCCCCCACGGAGATAAATACAAGCAAACCCTAACAGAAATGAACAAGGCAGGGAAAACAACAAAGAGATTCCTCTCTGCTTGATTAGAAGGATATTTCAGTAACACCACCACTGGAAAGCACAGAAGTGATATGAATGACATTTAATCCCAACTGCAAGGAGCCAAGAGAGAACTAGTGCTGCAAGGGAAAGGGATTGACTTGTATCATTTCCAGCAGACAGTGATAGCTGAAACCTCACCTTCACAGGTTTTCCCATCAGTTCCCAGTGTCCGCCCGATCCCGCACTCACAGCGGTAGGAGTTCTTCAGGTTAACACAAAATTCGCTGCAGCCTCCGTTGTTCTGTTCGCATTCATTTTCATCTGCAAAAAATACACTGTTAGAACATGCCCCTGGTAAACACACAGCTGGCAAAAACGGGATGCTACATGGACTGCCTTTCCTGGCCTCATGACCTGGATCAGGGCAACAGAGATGAGTAATCCCACTAACTGCTAAAGACAGCTACCTACGGACAGTAGGAGAGTGTTTTGCCATGCTGTGTCTCTCTCAGGAGCAAAGCAAACCTGGGGGGAAAGACAGCATGGCACACAGCTGCCATTTCAGAGTGAAGATGGACGTGGTCCCACTAGGAAACTTCCAAACTGGTTCTCTGTGTTGAGGGAGTTCGTATTTTCATTTATCTTCTCATCCTAAACTATTCCCCGCTCCACTCACAAAGACATTAAAATGAAGTTAACATGACTTCACTGCATGGTAAAGCTAGGTGAATACCAGAATCAGTCAAAAAGAAACCCTATGTATTTTTGTACCACACCTACTATTGCTACATGTGGCCAACTATCCTACAGCAATTTCACATGATTCAACCCTTATTTCAAAAGACACAAGAATGACAAAGAGCTGTAAACATATAAACAAAGCTGAAATCAAACCAAAACATTTTAATGAACCCCACAAAGATTCCCCAAGAAAAGTCACCCCATGAGAAATTTTATCATTTTGGCTTCTTGCCCCAGCACTGGCTGCTCCCTGTCCTGGAAAGCTCAGGTGTTCTTGCAGAACAGAAATGTCAGCTCACTGTGGTGAGCCCTAACCTGGGCGCTGGTGCCACACAGGCCACCCCAACTATTAGCTGCTCAGACGTACCAAACATGAGTTGAAGAGCTCAGTTCTGAGCTACTCCCGCTGAGGACTCAGCTCCTCCCTGCCGCACGATGGCCCTCCCTGCTCTGCTCCTCTGCAGCCCTCTGCAGAGCTGTGGCTCCTTCCTTTCCAGCTCAGAGCAAAGAGGAGTGACTGAGTTGGCATTCCACACTTTCTGGAGCAGACTCTGGATAAAGGCTGCAGATAAACCTTGTAACAGGCCTGGACTGAGCTCTGAAAACTCCTCCTAATTCTATTTAAAAGGCTGAAGTTCCTCTCTGTCTGTCTGCCTTTTTTTTTTTTTTTTTTTGAAAGGTACTTTGTTCTGAGATTCTCATTCTTCAACCTGATTTAATCTCTGTGTGCAAAAAATGAATCAAATAGAGAGGAAGGGACAGTCATTGTTATTGCTGAGCCACAAAACTAACGATTTCTCTTAGGCAGGCCAGAATGCTGCGGTTATCAATCAAGGTTCACATGGGGTTTCAGCAAAACAGCTTAGAAGTTACCATTTACTAGATGTCAGAAGCTTAAAACCAAGAAAAAAGAAAAATACCATTTTAAGAGACAGTTCAGAGATGAGCTCTCTTAGGTAAAAGTGGTCCCACACATTCACAGTACCTGCAGCTTGCAGCTGGTGGTGTTGTCTCCTTCACAAATGACACGAATTAAATATTTTTAGCCAAAGAAATGGCTGGTACCCTGCTTTGGGAGGTAGGAAGCATGTCCAAGGAAACACACACAGACACTTCCCTTTTCACAAATGTGACAGGCTGCACACTTTCCCTTCTACCGATAAAACTAAAGCTGTTTAAAAACAGAGGGTGCAGAAAGAAAGGGCTACTGGCAAAGACACAGAGATGCTGTTAGAAGGTCCTAGAGCTTGGCTTGGTCAAAGGCTGCACCCAGCAATTCACCTTGCTGGTCCTCCAAGTTCTACACCACACAGCAGATCTGTCCCTGCCCTTCTGCACCAGTGACAGCCAGCACTTCTGGGACACAGGCTGGTTTTCTTAAGACCGGGTTAGGAGAGCGCTGAGCTGATTTTAATCATGGCTTAGTCCAACATGGATGCAGGTATTCAAGGGGTCAAAGGCAATGACAGAGTTGGGGGATCCGTGACAGAAAGACAAAGACCTAATCTGACCCCTAAGTTTGCAAATGAAAATATAACTTTCAATATAACAGCAGTTCTACTCTGGGATTCAAAGCATATAATGTGCTGCAAAGAAGTCAGCCTAGCACAAGGAGGTTCACAGACCGAGCTGCTTAGCATTACTGCAGCATTTTCAGCCGCTCTCTTAGGGTGAGCTGAGAAAGGAAGAATATTCTCCACATAGGAAAGGCTCATACAGGTTTATTTGGTTTCTCTGGAAGGCCAGCATGGTTACTCTCAGGTATGTGATTGCGTGATTACTCAGCACAACAGAAAGTCATTAGAAAGATGAGCGAGCCGTACAAGAAGAGAGGCTGCAGGAAGGTAAAGCAGTGCGATTATTACAGCAGAGGTGTTGTGCCATCTCTTTATCATGAAGAGAAACAGCAGTGCACAATTCCTGCCTGGCATGGCTGTGGTGGGATGAAGGCAGCTCCAGCACATGCTGGACTCCTGCATGCCTCCCTGCTGCAGGAAATCCTTTCCTGCGAGCCTGCCACACATTTGTCAAGTTCTGGTACTTGTCAAGGGCACTTCTGTGCCTGGAAGTCTTGCAGAAAAGCAGCCAATAGATGCTTTTAATTAGCTGAGACAGCTAAGTCAGCCACTCGGCTGCAGAGATGTGGAGCAGCTTTAGCAAAACCGTTCTGTAGAATCGGTGTAAGCAAGTGTAAATCTGCAGCAGGGCCAGGCTGCTCTCTCCACAGATTGTAACCACCGTGGCCCCTACCCTGATGCCCACAGACATGAGGAGTGTGAAGAAAGAAACCACCCACATCTGCTTTGTCAGCTATGGTCTGTATGGAAGAAACTTATCTGCCAGACATCCTACTGGACCAACTCTGCTCTCAACTTCACCAAATCAAACCTCAAAGACAAAGATGAGATCCCATTTCCCCCGAATACTAGCACCCTGTTCTCCCTCCGTACCACCTCTTCCTATCCATCAGTGTGGCTCTGCAGCTCCGCAGCAGCCACTCCTTCCCAGCCCTTTGCGTTGCCCCACAGACCATCTTCTTCCTAACACCTCGTAGCCCAGGTGCTCTCCTCCCAGCACCACGCACAACCACAGCCATCCTCCTCACCTCAGGGGATTCCCTCACAAATCCCTGAAGCCCACGTTTCCCTCTGCTTTCACTTACAGCCCTACACCTCCCTCCTGGTCATGTTAGTCTCTGCAGCGCAATCACCAAGTGCCAGTCCCCTGAATGCATCCCCTTGTTGTGCTGCCTAGAACCACTGAGGCTGTGCTGTGACCTGCAATCCTTTGGCTCTTCTCAAACCTCAGGCCCTGGGCAAAGCCCCACGAGGGCAGTAAGTACGGTGAAGCTTAGTGCATAGCCCTACACCAGCCAGCAAAACTTTTCTTGGAGAAAAGAGGCATTCAACAGAGCTGGTGAGAGGAAGTCTCTAATGACAGACTGCACAGCCGCTCCTGAATACCAATGAGGCTGTACTGTGATCTCGCAAAAAGACTCTGCTACTGACAGTGAAGCTGCTGCCTTCAGCAGTTGGACCATGCAGAAAGCAAATCTAGCCTCTGTACACGCATAGCTCCAGGGGCACCAGAATGTATTCAGCCATGGGATGTTGTATCTCACCCTGCAGGGAGAGATCTGGAACCATTTACAGAATCAAAGACCTGTTCCAGGCAGCAAGGGGAAAAACCTCCTCTCAAGATATTTTTCCTTTTTTATACTGCTTGGGAAGACAATTGATTGAGATGTGAGCAATGAAACAAAGCGGAAAGAAAACATCAATAACTGACACAAGTCATTTCCACCCTTACCGAGACACGTCTGTCCATCAGGTCCTAGTGTTGTCCCCAGGGAACACGTGCAGTCACTGGTGTCCAGGCAGGAGCCCTGGCAATCCACAACGTCGCAGATGTCATAAAAATCTAGGCCACAACAAGAATGTTGTCAGCACAAACCACTGAGCACGCACCAAAAATATTGTATTTGTAGCATCAGCTTCACGCCCTGTGTCTAGTCCATCAGTTACAGTCCTAGCCTACAATAGGAAAGCTGAACCACTAAAGCTGATGAGCAACAATCTAGTTTAATTATTGTAAGTGAGAGATGCAAATTTTGGCTTTGGTAGCATGCCAAGACAAACCACAAGGCCCATAGAGAGCATTAAATCCCTGTGGCCAGGTCAGCTACAGAAGATTTGCACTAGCTGAACAAAGGCTAGATAGAATTCACGTAGGTGAGACCTTCTAATTGATCTCTTATAGACAGACCACCATCTGCATCACCTGACACTTTTCTGGGTGAGAAAGCCAGAAACCAGTCACCATCTCTCTCAGTTATATAGATGGCCACTACTTCTCCTACATCACGGGGACAAAGGGGCTTCAGAAAAGCAATCTCAGCAGTTACTTACGCCCACAGTATGCATGGAAACAAACGCTGGGCTTGGTTAAGTGATACACATAGTACCCGCCCGGACACGCCTTGACGTCAATCGTGGTATTCCAAAGGCAGCAGTTCCCGTTGAAGCTGGCACAGGCTTGGCGTGGGACGATGCCATCCGACTCTCGCGGGTGGCTGCCGTTCAGCCAAATGGGAGCGTGGGTGCCGCAGTGGTTCTCCGGGATGCAGAACGTAGGCATAGCATCGCCAGCCATGCCAGTGAAGCGATACCACTCCCCATCGATTTGACTGTCGCATGTCGGCTGGCCGTGGGAACCGTTTATCTGATGATCTGTGTTCCTCCAGGGCTCGTTCAGGCTGATGTAGGCAGAGCAGGGGTCCAGGGCTGAGACACGCAGCAAGAGACAAGAGAGAACATCTGGTAGGTATCACATCAAGTTGTTGACTGATAATTGCAAAGAAAGCGAAATAATTTGTTTTTCTATTCCCGACCTAACAGGATCATTGTGATAGATAGAGATCCCCAGGGAGAAAGAGCGATACCAGCTAACTAATTGCCTTATGGAAAATTCTGACAGCTCGTCTTAAATGTCTTGGAAGAAAAAGTAAATTAACAGAGCTATTACAACATTATGCAACAGTCTGACTTGCTGTTTAGCTGCTGTAGAGCACGACAGGGCAAAAACCCCAAACACATAAGCAAATCTGAGGTCCAGGTAGTGACTTTGCCATAGCAAGTATGTCCTGGGAGCACTAGATCTAGCCTAAGACATCCACCCTTTGTTCAAGTACTAACTGAGTACCTGCAAGCCCCTCCTGAAGTCACCGGTAACTCTCCCACATGCCTTGGACAAGAGGACCAGACTTCAGCCAGGCTATGCAGCCTCTCTCAAAACCCACCCATAGCCGGTGTCGGCCCTCACGGTTGACTTGCCATAACCACAAGCCAGAGATCACCTTGCAAAGCATCAGTTAAAACATGAACTGCAAGATACGCAACAGGAATGTGACATTTAAGGCATACAGAAAGAAAATATTCCATTGATTTCGATTATTAGACCCCTGTATAACTGTAAACAATCTCTAAGCATAATTTATCAGCTTCTATTCATTTCAGAGTACAGTTTTAAACAGCTAAATATAACAACTGCTCTCCCAGATCACAATGAAGTTGATCTATAGCCCAGCAGGCTGTCTCTAACCAAAAGCGTATGCTTAGAGAAGTGAGGTAGGAGAAAAAGACCCTGCTCCATTTACCTGGGGTTTTGTTCTCTGCTTTCTCTCCTATAGCTATGTACGTTTATGCCGAGGTGAGTTGAAAGACCTGTAACTCAAATCCATGCACTCTGTAAAATTCTGCAATGCTGCAAGAGAGAGAGGTGGCAGCTCTCTGTATTTACAGATCCACTTAGATGTGCCCTGGTCTCCTTCAGAGATTCCGTCCCCCGCTTCCCGCTTCGCCAAATGCTAACCACCTCTACAATTCACAGTATCTGTTGTGGTTTTGTGCAATGATGTTGCCTTCCTGCATCTGAAACAGCTTTGCTGTATCTTCTTATTTATTATCTTAAAATCTAGAGAGCAGAAAGGTCTGAATCAGGACCTTCTGGGGAGTAAAATGTTCAACTCTTTACACAGCCATGTTCCCTGCAAGCTGGCAAACCCTCCTGATCTCCGCAGGAGATAAGATGTTTGTGAGTGAAGTGAGTGTGACGGCAAGATGCAAACACGTGGACCTGCTGGTATTTGCATGTTCACACGGTGCTCAAGGAGTATGTCCCTTTTCAGAGGCCTTTCTGAACTTTCTGCAAGCAATTCAAACATATGAACTCCATAGGGAAAAAAAATGAAGACCTGAAGTGATCATTACATGTTCAGTCTTCTCCTAATTAACCCTGATTTGACAGCTGCCTCACTAAAAGTCCAGAGGTTTCACTTTCACTTACATTTAATACCTGATTAAGCACCACTTACCCATGACTAGCTATTCCTTATTAAGCAAAATGAACGCCAATGCTGTCTTGAGTAAGGAAAATTGATTTCCATTTGCTAGAATTAGGCTAATAAAACCAATCATTCTGATTAAACGCATCTCAGACTGGAATACCCTCTACTTTCCACACATTTAAGTTCTAAAATTGCTCTGTTTTGCTTATACAACAGTGTGACGCAATTTGGGTGGGGGGAGGCATTCTGTTGTTTCTGTTGGAATGCTCTGGACACAGACAAACCTTCTTGGTTCATTATTTTGATTCGCTTCGTTGACTTTAAAGTGGGAACTACAAACGCTTCAGAGAATAGACTTCAAGTCACCCTTATTTAGCTCCATCCTCTGTAAACATCTGTTTCGTACCTTCTCACAAACGTAACGTCTCTCTTGACAAACATCCTTACACCATCCTCAGCCATAGACATATTTTGGTTGGCCTCAAATCCAGCATAAAAGGCAGAAGCAGCTGCTGTAGTTTAAGAGTGCTGCAGAGCTGCAAGCTGACACAAGGAGCGCAGGTCTGGGTTATGAAGGGAATCTCTAGTGCCATAATTCATGAGATACGCAGAAAAGCAGATTCAGTCCCACCACAACCAGCCGTTCTTAGCTCTCCTGAGCAGCAGGGGGGGACCACAGCAGGAAATCTCTGATGAGATTCACCAGGCAATCCCTCGTGAGCTCTCAACTTCACCTGCCTCTCCTTAGCCACAGAAGACAGCAACACTGCTACATCCCATCCTCCAAAAGCTTGTTTGACTTCTTGTGACAGGGAAAGATAGGTTCTACCTTTTCTTTGCACGCAGCTGAACAGAGCTTCCTCTGGGCTTCTCTCAGTGTAACTCACTTGGTTTCCACAAGATTATTTGGTATGGCCTTAGGGTGAGTCACTGACTAAGATTAAAAGGTTTTTGTGGTGTTAAAAGCCAAACGAGGCAAAGCAAGGAATGCCCTATCAGCTTCCCAGCTGGGCAGCACCAAAAATACACACACTCTCATTAGCTTTCACATAGTATAATTAACTTATGAAACATCCTTTGTGGACAGACTCTGAAAACATTCATCCAGGGAGATCACATTAAATTATCTCCTGTCTGTTTAGGAGACAAACACAAAATTTATTGAGATGAACCTGCAGCGGCTCAGAGGGAGCTGGAAGAAGGCACTTCAGGGGAATGGAGTAGCACACCCTCCCATCTTTAATTTCTCTGAGAGCTTCAGGCAGCAGTGAAGGGGAGGCAGACAAGCAGAAAAAGCAGACAGTGCTCTTTCGAACACTGCAGACCCTCACGGCCACCCTCCGACTGCCAGGGCTGCCTCAAGCCAACCTCCCTGCAGACACCAAGCAGTCTTTGGCAGCACAGTTTACTGAAAACTAATTTGAGTTTTTAAGAAAAAACTCCACAAAAATATAAAAGCAACCAATCAACCTCTCATCTCTTCTCCGCAAACAACAAAAGCATGGGGGTTTAGCACAAGATGTATAACTGTCTCCAACTCCCTCTGTTTTTCATTCTTCTTGACTCAATTTTTTTCCTCCCCAACACTTCTTGCATGGCCTGAGCAATTCAGCCTGACAAGCATTAGCTATAAAGTAAAGCTTTTCAATTTGTAATCTTGATGATATCATTAGTTCTCTAGCTGACATACTAGCATATATATTGGATGACAAATCAGGCTCTAGCAAGCATTCATAAGCCCACCGTTCTGCAGAGAGTTTAATCCTATGAGTATTGTGTAACTGGAGGTCTCCGCTCTGGCACGACTAAGCAATGAAATGAACAGCACTGCATTATGACACTAAATTCAGTTAAGATTTGTCAAAGAAGCGGGTGAAAAAGTAGCATAATATCTACTCATGGAGTCTCTCCTCCAAAGCGAGAGGAAAATCCCACAGTGCCTCAGCAGTCAAAGATCGTCCCAATACAGGAGCCTTCTTGCTCAGTGATAGAAAGATCTTTCCAATTGGAAAGAACTTCACACCACCTTCAAAGAAAAAGGGTATTTCTCACATTTTCCGATCTTTCACCTAAGAATACCGAGGCTCAGCACGAACCTTAGAGACAGCAAGGGGAAATAAGCTTGAAGGCAATGCCTCTTTACTCACCCATCGAAGACACTGGCTGCAACTGGATGATAAAGCAGATACAGAAAAACAAGTACTGGAACATCCCACTTGGCCAAGGAACAGTTACCACTCAAGTAGCAGAGGCCTGAAAGCTCTTACACACACTGTGGCTCTTGCAGCTTTCCTCTCAGTGGAGCTTCTGACCTCAAGCTTTCTGAAGAGCAACTATGATAGCTCTCCTGGAAGTCTATCAGAGGAAGAAGCTGAAGGGATGTGGGGTACAGCTCCAGCCTTGACCTCCGCAGAGCAGCTCTGCCCCTTATTGACAAGAGAGATGTACTCACTGATCAATCTTGTTTTTTTGGACTCAACCCGCTATTGTTTTCTGGCCTCACTGCCCCACAGTGACACCTCCACTATCTTATCCGGAGAAGAATTCTAACCAGGGGACACCCGGACATCCCGAAGGGATGGAAAAGAAGAACAGATGGGTGCTTGTTGTTATCTCAGCTCCTTCCACAAGTCGTACGACTTTGTGGCTCCCCACAGGCAAAAAACACCAGCTAGAGAGCCTTAACTGCAGGAAATAGTGGCCAAAGGAGGAGAACCGATCCTTCCGAGCAGAGATTGCAGATGAGTGCTTGGAGCAGAGCTACAATGGGAACATCAGTCAAAGTGAAGGGCTGGTGTCCCACAGGGAAATAAGCTGTTCCTATGCTACACAAAGACCCTTTCCACTCCTGGTCACGCAACCTGACCATCGCAGCAAGATTATCAAACAAGGCAAATAAAAACATTTTTCTGCAGTAGTCTTATAATCCCTGTCTTTCAAAAAAAACGCAAAACCAAAGCAACAATCAAGAAACCCAATGCTACTGAATTCCATGCAAAACCAAGTAATTAAGAACCTCTGTCATACTGGTTCGAACCAAACTAGGTTGAGTTGCAGGTCATAGCCACACGCTCCGGCTACAGATGAGCTGTAGCACATTGAAATCTGTTCTCTACTAAAGCAAACCAAGCATCACAATTGGCAGTGAGATGCACCAAGGACAACATCAATAAGCAGAAAGGGATCTCCCCTCTCATCCCACTAGCTGTAACTCTTACTATAGAGAATAGATTTAAAACTCTATTTTTAACATGTACGCATCTCCAGGTCTCTCCCTGCTTAAGAACAATGATCAGACTCCAGGAAATCACCTGCAGGCAGAAAGCTCTCCATCAGCAAAGCATACCATCAAGCCTACAGTAATTGCATAATCAAGCAAACATAGGCATTACCCCATATCCTTGGCACTCTACGTTTCTGCAGGAGGCTAGCATAAGGAATAACGTCAAGATTGATGTGCTAGCTTGAAATCTCAGCCTGAAAAAATTAGCTACGTTATTTTCATATCGAGTTTGCACAAGACAAGAAGTTGAGTATTTGCCTGCTTTGTTGAGATTGTACGTTATAGAAAGTTCTCTGGGTATTCCCCGGCAGTGAAGTACCATATGCTGCTCTGCTCCACCTCAGCAGAGGAGTCTTTTTCAGCAGTGAATGACTATGGGGAACAACAAAAGACACTTCAGAAATGACTGTAATTGCTCCCACCAACACAAAAAAAAAAACCAAAAAAACTTAGTGGCTGTATCATGCTGACAGCTGTGCAGTACCAGCAAAGTGTTGTTTTGGTTTTTTTTTCCAAGAACAGGAAAGGAGAACAAATTCACTATGCAAAGCTAGCAAGGCAGATAACCCTCAAAAGGTGGTCATGTGAATTCCCAGAAGAGAAACAAAAATTGAACAGAGAATAATAAAGCAAGCCACAGGAAGTTATATTTTGCCATTTTTATTGAGAGGTTGATTCATACTTAAGATCCTGGGTAAATGAAACTGACAAGCTTGAATTGAATTTTCTTGTCCTGGTAGAGATGTGTGTATTTCTCTGAACCATTTCATTACCAGCTGCTTTTATTTTTGTAGGTGGTGTGTTATGTCTGATGCTAGTAACATTTTGACAGTTATATGTGACTGACAATTGACAATTAACATAAGGAAATAAACTGCATCATAGCAGTTTTGAGCCTCAAAAGTGCCACAAACAGGCCCTATCAAGTTGTCCAACAGGGACTAAAACAGGAGATGTCCCAGCATTCCCAGAGATGACACTATCTCAAAATCACCGTAACTATCTTGTTCAAGGAAACAAGTCTAAAGCTGGACAAGAGTCACTGTCCTGCCTCTAAACATTTTTGGTACCCCCAGGAAAGACAAAGACCATCTCAGTCTTTTGGAAGAAGCACTAGCAGAGGCAACTTTTCTATCAGCACTTACTCTTTGCAAGTTATTTCAGGTGACATATCCAGCTCCAGTTGCCCCCCCCCAACAAAGTTGCCCCCCTGTATTAAAGTAGGCAACTGCCAATCTATGCCTCAGGGAGTGGAAACAATTATTCCTGAGAGGGGAAAGGGGTGGGGGGGCACACGACAAAAAACCCTCCTGCAAACAGACCCTCTGAGAGAGAGGATACAATTCCAACAGAGTACTCTAGATGCTGTGGGCCTGCACTCTCTAGGCAGATCTGATAGATCTGCTGTTCCTGACCTCTACTTCCCTGACCCTAAGATGAGTGAGCCTGACATCCCAAAAAGAAAGAAGAATCAGGATCAAGTATTTCTTAAAACTAGTCATCAGTATGGGTTAAAAGATGTAAAGAGGGAAGGCGATATTGAAACAAAGGGCTGGGGTTTTATTTTGGTATGCATGATGGGATCTTCTATGCTTGCCGCTAAGCCCAGGCATGTCTGTTCTTAATGGAAAAAAAAAGGACGCTAATTTTGCAGGTGGCAACCACAGTTTTTGCCCCTCCCAGAGATTTGGAGGGCTTTACCATCCTTACACAAGGAACTCAAATCCTTCAAAGCATTAGCCAGGCTGAGAAAAGCTCATGCTCTTTGTAATGGACTAATGAATAGAGATGCTTTGGTGTTTGAGAAAGCTGGCCTTGTCTTTGTCAGAGCCACCTCTCAAGACATTTGATGAAAGTGAGGTGTGTGAAGAACAGGTCTTGGTGCAGGAGCAACTCCTGCAGCCTGCCTAGAAGGAGGCGGAAGAGCTAATCAGCATTTCCTGCTGCTGAGAGAGAGTAGAACCTGACACACGCGACAGGATCCCTGTCTGCGATTGATTTGAGGATGTATGTTCACAATAAGCCTTGACAGGCTGCTGAGATAGATTGCACAAATGTCAAGGACTCAGAGATAGGCCTTGTTGCTGTAAACAACTTGTCCCAGGACACAGTGCCAATGGGAAGGGCTGTTGAGATCAGGGAGTGAACACAAGTTTAGTGAAATATGAGCAAACTCAACGCAAGAAAAAGTAAACCACCAAGACCCCCATTAAAATCAGACAAGTACATAGCTCCTCATGAAGAGTGGCAGCTATTTTCTTTCCTTTAGTGGAGCCCTGTGATGCAGAATTTGACCTTTTGAGAGTGTTTTTCCACAGGTCCTACAGAACCCAGTGTATTTGCCATGATCCTCAATTTCTAGAGAAAGGAATTAGGGCATAGACAGCATACCCACAACTGCAAAACTAGTCGGGGCAGAAACAGGAGTGAGATCCATCGTTTACAAGTTCACAGAGCCACAATGACACAGCACACCACTAGCTTCTCCCATACACTGCAAGTTTAATTTCCATTCCTGCGTTTTACTTTTCACCCCTTTAATGTCAGTATAGAAATAAACAGTTGCTTTTTTAAAAAAAAGTTAACAATTGGAATCTCTTGCGATAGGTAGAAAAATACTTAAGATATAAAAATATCCTTCCTATGTGAAAATAAAGTCATGCAATGTGGCACAGAGGAAAGCAGTTTGCATTTACAACTACACACAAAAACCAGAGGAGATCAAAGAAATTGTTCCCCTGGCTCAGAAACACAGGGGAACTTGGTCAGCTTCACTTGACTGACATAGTGCCAAGGTCTGACAGTCAACAGCAGCTTCATGCAAACCCTCTTGGAGCTAATATGGAAGTGTAAGAACATGCAGCAAGGTGATCATCATCACTGCCTGCCAGGTAGGAAGGGTTAACAAGGGAAAAGAAAAAGGGTTTCTTCTTTCCTCTTCAGGAAAGAGGAGCCATGAACACCTCCCCTGGAGAGGTTTGCAAGGTAGAGCCTCACAGCCATGTCACAAAGGGAACCTAATACATTTCTCCAGACAATTTTGAACTTGACATGTATTTATTTGAAAGCTCCCTCCCAGAAAGAGAGGGAAGAGAGGCTCAGCAAATGAATAAATGTTGGTTGATGAGAAGCTCAACATGACCCAGCAATGTGTGCTTGCAGCCCAGAAAGCCAACTGTATCCTGGGCACTATCAAAAGAACAGAGGCCAGCAGATCAAGGGAGGGGATTCTCCCCCTCTACTCCGCTCTCTGCAGTACTGCGTCCAGCCCTGGAGTCCCCAGGACAAGACAGACGTGGAGCTGTTGGAGCAAGTCCAGAGGAGGCCACAAAGACAGTCAGAGAGCTGGAGCACCTCTCCTGTGAAGACAGGCTGAGAGAGTTGGGGTTGTTCAGCCTGGAGAAGAGAAGGCTGCGGGGAGACCTTAGAGCCCCTTCCAGTCCCTGAAGGGGCTCCAGGAAAGCTGGAGAGGGACTGGTGACAAGGGCAGGGAATGACAGGCCAAGGGGAATGGCCTGAAGCTGAAGGAGAGGAGATAGAAATGAGATGGGAGGCAGAAATCCTTCCCTGTGAGGGTGCTGAGGCCCTGGCACAGGGTGCCCAGAGAAGCTGTGGCTGCCCCTGGCTCCCTGGCAGTGTTGAAGGCCAGGTTGGATGGGGCTTTGGGCAACCTGGGCTAGTGGAGGGTGTCCCTGCCCATGGCAGGTCGGTGGAACTAGATGAGCTTTGAGGTCCCTTGCAACTCAAACTGTTCTATAAGTCTATGAATAACAAAATTGGTACAAAAAGCAGTGTCTGAACCCTGCGATGCACACTGCTGTTTATCCTTCATAGGGCCTTAAGAATGCAGCGTTACATTAAGATTCATGCAGCACTGCCTGCTCTTAAAGTGCTGCCAGTGGGACAGGACCCTATTACCTGCCTGGCTCCTAGGCATGAAATAACTACTGCAAGAGAGTTCCTGGATATTGATATACAACAGTGTGTATCAGGAGAGCAAAC